TTCCCACCCTCTTGGGTTCTGCCCCCTTAATAAATGAGACAAATTATGGATGCTAGCAATGGGCTTCTAAACCCGTTCTTTTCCCATTTGTAGAATCTGGGCAGGGACTTACTTTGTACCTGTTCTGTAGCAAAGGATTCAGGAATGTTTCATAGAAACACTACTCTCTGATATATTCAGAGCCCTCTGCCTCACGACCAGTAAAAAAGAGCAAGAATGATGTGGCAGAACAGCCTCTCATTGTGGGGCCTTAATGCGTGTGAGCCTCAGTGCCATCATGCATACAGTGGGAATACATGATTACGAGATTCTTGGAAATAAATCAACAAACATGCGAGGAACCTAATAGATAATGAAAAGAAATGCTGGTTGTCTTTCGTTCCCATCTTACAGTTGGATAAATGTCTGCTTGAAACAACCCACATATTTACACTTTACATAAGGGTGGTTTTTTTTTTTCCTTGGGCTTTCCTTATATGAAATAAAAGCTCAGTCTGAAGTGAGCTGCTGGTGGCTGGTGGAAGGAATAGAGAATAGCGTTCAAAGGTCAGCGAGTTCTTTCTGGTCCAGTATCTGTGTGGATTCTCTCCATCTTCTCTCGATGTTTCCTGCATCATTCCATGTTTTGCCCATAGCATATTTCAAGATTGCAACTCGAGGCTTGAATTTTTTGTCTTAAGCTGTTTCAGTTTCAGATATGCTGAGCATATTCTTCCCTTTGGGTTTCCTATGTAGAGGGGTCTACGCACATTTCATTATAATCATTGGCTTTGTCTTCTCGAGCTGCCTTTTGAAATTTTCTATGCAGCTCTTTGACGTCATCATTTCTTTCATTTGCTTTAGCTACTCAACAATGAAGAGCAAGTTTCAGCGTCTCTTCTGACTCCACTTTGAACTTTTCTTTCTTTTCTGTCTTTTTAATGACATTTTCCTGTCTTTGTAAGCTTCTGTCATTGGTGTTCAATACGTCAAATCTGTTCTTGAAATGCTCTTGAAATTTAGGTAGGAGAGACTCGAGATGGTACCTTGGCTCTAGTGTAATGGTTCTCAACCTTCCTAGTGCCGCCACCCTTTAATACAGTTCCTCCTGTTGTGGTGACCCCGCCCCTCCATCAGAAATATGTGTTTTCTGATGGTCTTAGGTAAGGTGACCAGACATCCCGCTTTTGGTGGGACAGTCCCGATTTTTAACAATTTTTTCCCCGCGTTCCACAGCGTTTTAAAAAAGTCCCGATTTTTGGAAAGAATGCACACAAGCTAGGGTATACAGTTTTCAGCTGCCATGTGGCTATTTCGCCAGGATATGAGTTTTATCAATGGTGTCCCGCTTTACCAATGTT